ATAGATTGATTGGTTCGATTGGTGTTGTTCAATCGGCCGTCACCCGTTAGCTTTATAAGAGGGGGCTAGACTTCGCGTGCAAGGAAAAGAGTTGGATTCACGTCCAAAACCCTAATCAAATTCCGATTGGTTTTGTCCGAACTTTCCAAAACTGTTCGGTCTAAAACTGGCTGCATATTGTGGGTCTTTTTTGAGGCGGTAAACAACCTCGGATGGAAACGAGCCCAAAAGCAATCTTGACCGTTTCGACGAGACGAACAACTTTCATGTTGAACGTTTTTTTCATCAGAGGTCATCTCAAGGATCAAATCGTTCGCGCAAAACAGCTAATTATTTACGCAGCTCATCAGACATACCCTCATATGTGTCTGGTTCCGGGCGTCATATTTTGCTCAGTGGAGGGTCACGCTGTGAGGACTCTAACTTTTGCATACTACCTCGGATTGGGACGATCTTTATATCAAAATCTATCGCTTCGACGAGACGCACAACTTTCGTGTTGAAATTTGCTCAATTTGAAGCCATCTTAATGGGGTTTCTGTCCATTCTTTAATATGGTGTCGACATGAGCATCTCTGAACTTGTCATAACTTTTGCATCTGAGCTCCGTTTTAGACCATCTTCATATTCATCTTGATCTTCTTGAAGAGAGCCATCTCATGGTGACTTTCAATAGTAAGTTTGAATTAATCTTGACACAGCTTCAAGCCACTCTTTATAATCGTGCCACTTTTGAGCGTCAACACCTTCCCTCCCATCGACGACTACCTCTTCGAAGCAATATTGATACAGATAAGAAGCAAATAACAGGCATATGTGCACATGCTCTACTATTGAAGTTAGAAGGAAAGAAACATCTTCCATTTATTTTAGTTTTTTGTGAATGCCGAAGCACAAAATAATGAACTACGAAGCTTCACTAAATTACGAACGAAGCAAGAAAATGGGATGTAACTGCATGCAAAAACAAGGAAGCATATACCATACTTATCGAAGCATGATTCTTGTATATAGAGAACAATATAGGAAGCAAAGAAGCATGCATTATTAGGATTCAATTTTAAAGATGCAAATGTACGTGATTATAGGGAGTCAAATATGAACCATGAGATATTATCAGAAGCATTGGTTGGAAGCATCCATGATCACCTGAGAACATAAAGTAAACCTTATACTTCCATGCATCAGTCATAATGCTTCTGTGATATAAAAATCAAGTTGCCATATGTAAAGATCACAGCTAATTGCTAGAAGAATGTTTATTGTGCGATGGAATGAGGAAGCATCATGTGTATACGGAAACACACATGAAAACCGACCTCATATATGGGAACAGCAACGCGAATAAATGGGGGCATTTGATTTGGAAACTGTCAAAGATGTGATTGCACATGATTAGTGATGGAAGCAACGTAAATCAAGGAAATTCGTTTTAGGAACTGCCAATGGTGTGGCGCTGTTAGAGGGATGAATCTAACGCTCAAGAAAGTTTGATCCAACGGCCACGCGCTGGTCTGATGGGAAGCTAGGGATCAGTAGTCTGATCCCTAGTGGTTCCCTACTTCAAAACTCCCACAACCATTTGTACTATCAATTCCTTGCCCCGTTACTATGTTTCCTTGATAGTAGATTCCTTTCATTCGGCCCCACCCAGTACTGCAATGATTTGGCCATGGCTTTCTGGGCATAGTGGCCGGAACTGACATTAGTAATTTATGTACATTTTTGTAATGTTTGTCTCACTTGGTTTTTTCTGTTATCATAAGAAAAGGTATACTTTTCACCCCAAAATGTATCCTAGATGAGCAATAACGCCCTCAAGTGATATTTGGTCTAATTGCACCTTCCAAATCCTGGCTGAACGTGCCTTTTGATGGTTCTCGAGCTAATGTCGCATAGATTTGGTGCCCACTACGTGTGAGGTCCAGTTGGGGTGGAAGTTGGAATACTTTCATGTGTTATTTATTTTCATGTCCAACTTGGTTGTTCGTGCATGTTACCAAATAATTTTATATAATTTTTGGTCTGTGTATGACGCCTTAAATGCAATTAGCTTTTGTATATGCAGAAACATTTTGGGTACTCTAGGGTAATAGAAATCCTAGAAGTGTTTTCTTTGGTTTCTTATGTATGAGGCTTGTTTGGGTGTGTGTCATGTTGTAGGGGTAGGAAAAATGGTGACGCATATAGGTTGTTATCTGGGCAACTTAATGGGAACAAAAGCCCATGTTCTCAACAAGAAACCTCTGCTTTTCCCTTGTCATGGTTCAGCTTAAAAGTTCAATGACAGTGCTGATGCATCACATTCGCCAAATAGCTACCCCACGCCCCCCTGGAACAAATAGCTATGACATTCAACGAAGTTCTAAACGAAAGACAGCCATCTGTTCAGCAGATAATCCCTAAGATTTTCGTTCTATCCATGTATATTATCTTAGATTTTGACGCAAGTAAAAGTGTACAGTTGTGGCCGCTAATTTTTTCATGCAAATATGGACTTATAAAAATTTAAATGATAGTATCATGATAGAAACCTATGAAAATAACAACACTAATTTTACTTCGCTAATCTACATATTTCTAAACTTAAGTATTTATGTCTTGTACGAAAATTTGTCTGCTCTTTAACCACTGGTCATCACTAAATATACATAGTTGGATTTCTCAGTTGCAGTAGTGTTTTCTTAGAATGAAAACATAATATTCAAATAAGCATATAAATAAGTTATGCGCCTATAGCATTTCATTTCATTTTTCTATTCATATTGGTTATTCTCTTTTAATCACCACTGCTTATCTGCTTGTCAATGGCTAGTTACAAATCAAAGAAAAAAAACACCTCATATGCTTCTTTCATTTTCCGGAGAACCATCAATGAAGAACAAAATATAATTACTGATTGCGTGCATATAATCCTTATATTCTATTCGTCCACCTTCATTGATGTTGGTGGTACTGCAATTACGTTGTTCCATTAGTTCAATGGCATGCATGTAGATGATGATGTGCATGCATACTTATCTTCCTATATATTCATATGTCACCTATCCATCTAATGGAATGTGTTCTCTTGTTCATACTCATCTAAATTGCTAGATATTTTATCTCAGCCAGCCAAAGCATAACTTGTGTTTTCGTTATTCTCCCATCCATGTTATTTGCGGAGACTTATGTTGTTACACTGAAAATTCCCTCCATCGGTACGTATTAAATGTTATGAATGGAATCACAATCGATCTATCTCTCATCTCCTCACATAAGTAAGATTGAATTCAAAGTGTGAGACTATTCCAACCATCAATCTCAAATCTCTATAATACTACTATGCATGTTGACTGTGGACAGCGATGCACATAGTGGTGTGAACTGTTAACTTTTTGTCTATTAG